CCGTGTCCACCGACTACTGGCTCATCATGGTGGAGGGAGTCATCCTGCAGCATAACCAGAGCCAGGAAGTGAAGATGGCGCTGCATTCGGGCCTTTGGAGGGTTTGCTTTGTGGCTGGTAGGAGGAAAGATTTGTTTTACACACAGTCAAGAGTAGTTTTCTATGTGCACGCGTAAAAATCACCACAGCAGCACACATGCAGCAGCAGCAGAGTGAAAATGAAGGAGGATAAAAAAAACAAGCCCCGGAATCAAATCTGTCACAAAACATGACCGTTAACGGAGACTGCAGAGAGCTGTGCTTCTTCACGCATCACCACACAGCCTTCTCCGTTTTCTCACAGGATCAGAGAACGGGAGGTGCGTCGCATCGGAGTACTTCACCGAACCTGACGTGGAGCTCACCACCGAAAACACAGCAAACATCCTGAGTGAGTAGACGGCAGTCGTGACCTCAGAGGTCGTCTGATGTGGGGAGACGTGTCGCTGATGCTGTTCCCCAACAAAAGCGACGCTAAGTTATTTATTACTGAGATGTTATGATGGAAACACCCAGAGTCTCAGGAGGTTTCACACTTCCTGGCATGGAAAATGCGGGAAAAGCGAGTTTTGAGTGTTATTTGTGATTATGTCTGGATCTGTGAAACATGAATGTGTTTCCTTTATATGTGTTTAAAGGTGCTTTGTGTGGAAAACCAAAACCAGCCTAACTGGTTCCCCGACGGTCCGAGTCCCACCTGCTGTGACTGACTTTCATCATTCCCTCCACTCACCTCCTCTTCCAATAAGCTATTTTTAAACCTCGTGACCTTTTGCTCCCACAGAGATGGTGCGCACAGCCACGCCCTTCCCAATGGTGTCGCTGCTCTTCGTCTTCACCGCCTTCGTCATCAGCAACATCGGGCACATCCAGCCCCAACGCACCATCCTGGCTTTCGTGTCCGGCATCTTCTTCATCCTCTCAGGTGGGAGCCTCCACTCGCCGTCACCTGACTCTGTGGCTGGTTTCCTTCCAGGGAGACGTTGTTTCCCTGCAGCTGTAATGACGCGTCCTGAGCAGCAGATGGCAGTAACGCTCCTGTTTCTGGAGCTCAGGATGAGGCGTAAAGCCCACCTCAGTGGAGCTCTTCCACTCTAACGGATGTTTCTCTCCACACTTTTGAAAATGAGGCAGGAGTTGGGAGAAGAATCAAACCGAATCTGATATGACAGTTTTGGCTCTCGGGGACTTTGTGGCAGCGGGGCTTCACCGCAATACAAAGTCTTATATAAGAGAAGTTATGTAATATTTATTGTTTACGCTTGATGATGCTGATAATAAGAGTTTTAGTCAGTAGTTCTGTGTGTGTGTGTGTGTGTGTGTGTGTGTGTGTGTGTGTGTGTGTGTGTGTGTGTGTGTGTGTGTGTGTGTGTGTGTGTGTGTGTGTGCGCATATACATGTGCATGTGTGTGTGTGTGTGCACATGCATCTGTGTGTCTGTGTGCATGTGCGTACATGCTTACATGCTTGTGTGTGTGTGCGTGTGCATGTGCACATGTGTGTATGTGTGCATGTGCACATGTGTGTGTGCGTGTGTGTGTGTGTGTATGCACACTTGTATGTACATACGTGTGTGTGTGTGTGTGTGCGCACACGTGTGTGTGTGTGCATGTGTGTGTGTGCACGCTTGTATGTACATATGTGTGTGTGTGTGTGTGTGTGTGTGTGTGTGTGTGCACGCTTGTATGTACATATGTATGTGTGTGTGTGTGTGTGTGTGTGTGTGTGTGTGTGTGTGTGTGCATGCTTGTATGAACATACGTGTGTGTGTGTCCGCATGTGTGTATGTGCGTGTATGTGTGTGTGTGTGCACGCTTGTATGTACATATGTATGTGTGTGTGTGTGTGTGTGTGTGTGTGTGTGTGTGTGTGTGTGTGTGTGTGTGTGTGTGTGTGTGTGTGTGTGCACGCTTGTATGTACATATGTATGTGTGTGTGTGTGTGTGTGTGTGTGTGTGTGTGTGTGTGTGTGTGTGTGCACGCTTGTATGTACATATGTATGTGTGTGTGTGTGTGTGTGTGTGTGTGTGTGTGTGCACGCTTGTATGAACATACGTGTGTGTGTGTGTCCCCGCATGTGTGTGTGTGCGTGTATGTGTGTGTGTGTGTGCACGCTTGTATGTACAAATGTATGTGTGTGTGTGTGTGTGTGTGTGTGTGTGTGTGTGTGTGTGTGCAGTACCATGAAACTCTGAAAGTCATCATTAGAACTGAATAACGTTGAGGTGAACCCACAACAGCACGACAGCAACCACAGAACGGATATGATCCTGTTTGGTTTTCCAACGGTGACTTAAAAAAATTGTGTTTTAAGCTGAAAGGCAGTCAGAAGTGACCCAAAACAGCCCTAAAACCATCATTTTCCTACTAAGATAACCTTAGTTTAAGGGCAGGAACTGCTTTTCCACGACAAGTTTGCATGAAAAAAAGATGTACGTTCAGCTGAACTTTGACAGCAGCATGGTTTCTGCATTTTCCATGTTTTCATATTTTAAGTTGACAAGAAACCCTCTTAGAGCAGTCGTTTGTGTGTGTGTGACAGCCCTGTGGTGTGTTTTAAAGCTGCAGCCGGACCTAAAATGATTTATTCATTTCATTTGCGGCTTACAGCATGCAGCTGTCGTTGCATATTGATTCCTCTTTGATGGCCATATGTTGCATCTCATGCATTTAGCATATCCAAGGCGGTGAAGAGTGCATGTCCATGTCCCTGGGAGGAGAGAGGGGCTGTAATGTAGCATGATTACTTCTGGGTGAAGAGGTTATTTTTTCCCTTTGGTTTTCTCTGCACAGATTTTTACAGTTGTTTGTGTTTGTTGGGATAAAGGGACCGGAAACTTCTGTCAAGTCACCAAAGGGTGTTATCTTCTTTAAAAAAGTGCTTCTGAGGACAGAAACTATTGATTGGAGTCAGGGTTTACATGTCGCTGATGGAGAATTTGCAACTCTTTGATTTATTTCTCTTTGTGTTTTAAAAAGATTCTCAGTTATAAAACAATAAATTAATTTACAAAACTGATCTCAAATCTACAGATTCTCATGAGGAATCGGATCGTTTAAAACTTCATCGAGCTTCTTTAGCAGCGATGCTGCCACTGATCCGAGACACTTTTCTTATCGTCTCCAAACCTTTTTGGACCAGCAGCAGGAGCGTGCGGCTGTTTTCAGCTCTCTGACATGTCTTTGAACACCTTTGATATTAGAAATTTCGCAGGAAATTGATGCAAAAAATGTTACATAAACTTTTATGAAGCCATACGCTTTGCACGTCTTTACACGGGCCGCTAGCCAGCTTTTAGGGGAGCTGAAGCGCTCCTAAATGGAATCCCAGAACCCCCAAAGTTAAAGACTTATTTGTTTATTTATTTTTACTGTTTTGTTCCACGATATTTGATAGAAACACTTCCTTTAAAATGTGTATTGCTGCCTTGAATGAACAGAAATGTGCGCCCTCTGCTGGCAAAAAAGAGAGCAACACTGATTTCCAACAGCATTTAGAAAAGAGAAGATGAGGGATTGCTGCCCCCTAGTGTCTAAAATATGTTCCTGCACTTGTGTTCTTTTAGCATTTTAGACGTGATTATTTTTGCCTCTTTATCTTAATGAAGCTTAAAAAATTCTTACTCTTTCTTTTGTCCTCTTGGGAATATTGAAAAGGAGGAGCAGGTGTAGATGGAGACGAAGAAACTAGATTTTCAAAGTTAAAGCCCCAGTGTGTAATTTTTTTTACCTGTTTACTATCAATCCTGTTTTTCCAGTTCACAAACTTGTGCTTTTTCATTATTTTTTCTCACCAACATCAATTCTAAATATTCCTCTCAGCTTGAAATTTTACAGTTTTAAATACATAAACTGTGGTCGACGCTCCACGGTCATCCACCATCATGAAATACAGTAGCTGTTGAGGAACATACAAGCTCCCCGTTAGGTGTTTGGTCCATAACTGTAACCTGAAAGGACCAGCAGAGGGCAGCAATGCGCCCTGGAAGCATGGAGTCTGCTAATTCAACTAAGAAGTAGAAGAGACTAGCTACACCATTACTGTACTTGTTACTTTGAATAATAAACAATTAAATCAAAAGACACATGAAATTTGACAGGTTGTCATCATGTCCAGAAGCCGTATATGTTAACTCATTCGCGGAGACTCACCTCTTACATCAGGAAGAATCCGCGCGTTTCGAGCGTTATCCGTTTCATAATCCGTTGTTGAATTGTGATCGGCAGACGCTTTTCCGGTTCGCGCCTCACTTTTATTTACAGCAGCGGCCCAAAACGATCTCCTAACACGTGGATGTTCTGCTTCCTGATCACGTGACGTGTGACGTACGCGGAGGAAGATCGGCTTTAGAGCTGGGATGTTTGTTCTCTCGGCGTGGGGGCTCGTCCGACGCCCACACAGTACAAACATGCAAACGACGACTTTAGTCTTCATTGGCAGTGAATGAGTTAAGATCCCCGCCCACTATTAGCTGGACACCAGCCTCCAAGTGATGTCCCCCCCCTCCCCCCCCCCCCCCCCCCACACTCCCTAACTCACCTCCAGGTGCTCATTCGTCTTTTCTCCGTACCAGAACTCCCGATCAGGTCCCAACGTGTCCGATCCAAAGTCCTTCAACTCAAGTCTCCTCTCTTTTGTGCGTTCGCTCTGTTCGATCCTGCAGCCAGCCATCTCTCCCAATACACTCCAGCGCTCGCCCGCTAGCCAGCGGCTAAATCAGCATTGTTTACGTGTTCTCCACAAACACTTTACTAACGGAGATGTATTCCTCCACGAGTTACAGAGATGACGCGCTTCTCTGAGGGCTTCTTCTCAAATGTAAACTTTGAACGTTTCTCCTTTGGCTGGTGATCCATGTTTACGCTCAGCATACACAACGTGTCCCCGAATCGCCAGCCGTGGCAATCAGCTGGTGGCTTAAAGTCAGCATTGTTTACTTGATCTCCACTGTGTGTCCCCGGCTCGCTAACCCTCCTTCGCCAGCCATGGCGCTGGCAGTGATCGCTCCATAAAAGATCGTCGTCTTTCTTTTTCCAGATCCATTAGCTGGCAGCAATCTTGTTTACAAAGCTCATCCACGTTAAACAGGTGTTGTGGGAAATTATGTTCCCCTGAAATATTCAGTTTCCCTTAGGCAATCAAGAGCAAACATTTCCAAATTCCCAGAATTTGTTGTACATTTTGAGGATTAAACAACCTCGAATAATAAGATGGACCTTTTTTATTGTTTTTAGAAGGACATATAGATATGAAAACGTCACAATCATCACATTATTACATTACATAACCTTATTTTCCTGTAAAAGTCGATCACAAATGTCGTGAAGAACGCCTGAAGAGCGACTTCCCGTCTCAGGGGGATAGAATATTTTAGGGAAACAATTTCTCACAACACCTGACCTCCCGGCTGCGGTCACCCCTCCGCCGTGTGTGAATCGTTACAACTTCAAGGTCTAACCATCGACATGTAAATATTGGACAATGGCTGTGTCTCAATTCAGGGTCTGCATCCTTCGAAGGACCCAGCCTACTCGGCCGACGTGGGCTGGATCCTCCGTCGGCCGGGTAGACCGGATGTTAACGGCTGTGAATTTGGACAGGCCTAGCCTTCATGAATCCCCGCCTCTCCCTCGACGAACGTTCCGTCGCCTGGCAGCCGTGGAACCGCTGAGCAGAAGGGAGAAGGAACTTTAAACGATGGAGCTCGAAGTTTTATTTAGCTTTTTAATCATTTCCTTGACTGTTGGAGAGCGAATTCAGAGAAAATACTTTCGACAAGCTGAGCCTGAGCAAAGATGTGATAATAGTTTTTAATACTTTCTAAGGGTCTTCATTTGACCAAAACCGATTTGTCACCTTTTAAGACTTTTCAAGACCCAGCGGGATACCCTCTAGTAAACAATTCTCAGTTGTAAACCAAAATAAAATTCAAGAGTTTAATGCAGAACTGATTTTATTTAGATATTTATTTTATATGTACATGTTTAATCTTTATTAACCATTTTTTTTCTAGCAAAGTAAAAATCTGTCAAAATTCTCCCTTCTCTCCTGTGCCCTCTGCTGCTCTGCCTCCCTCTGCAGCCACAAGTCCTCCCTGATCAGATCCAGAAGCTGGTCATCGCTGTCACCTTCCCCTGGATTCCCATTTTCTCCAGAATAGTCTTAACAAACATGTAAGAAAAGAAACAGGAAGAGAAAAGAGGACAACGGGTTATTCCTTTCAAGTTTTCGCAGAAAAAAATAAACTCAAACGAGTTTTTAAAATATGAGATGTTATTGTACCTCCATGCCACAGCCGCCGAATACTTTGCTCCAGTGATCATGTGGTCCATCTCCGCCCTAAGCTTAATAAATTCCCTGGTTTTCTCTTTTGTTCCTAAAATACAAACTTCTATTAAAATCAGGGGGAAAACGTAACGGGAGAAGTGCGACACCGAGCGGCCGAACATACGAGCCGAGACCGCAATACAAGCACTTACTGTAACATTTCTAACTAAAATAACGTTCATGTATCACAAAAAGCTATTAACCTAACAGTTTTCAAGTTTATACTGACATTTATATGCGCAATCCCCTCCGACAGCTCCCGCTTCACTGTCCGCCATTGCTTTTAAGTTTTTCTGCCGGCCGGCCCGCAAGGCTTCTTGGGAAATGCTACCTATTGAAGGATACACCCGACCCATCCTTCATTCAGGCGAAAAGAAGGCCGCATTCGTCGACCGCATTTGAAGGAGTCTTCGAATTGGGACAGGCCTAGTCGCGGCGCTGTGACGTAACCGGCCGACGAATCCGGCCGACGTAGGATGCAGACCCTGAATTGAGACACAGCCAATGGGTTTCCATAGGCTCCAATAATACGTTTTTGAAGAAAATTGGGAGGTGGCCACCACCGCCATTTTGACCGTGTCACAGGTTCCGTCAAGCCCAGACAATTCCACAAAAGGGAAGAGAGGTGGAGCTGAGGGTGGGGCTGTAAGGCTGGGATCAAATGACGACAACCGGTCGAACTAGCTACAAGCTAACCTGAGGCTAACTCAAAGCTTACGCGGAGGTGGGAGCTAAGCTAACGGAGGTAGCAACCTAGCTACAACCGGAGTTAACTGTGCACAACACCAGAGCTTCTGAGTCAGAGATACGCCGAGCTGACCGCTGGGTAAAACCGGGTGGAACACAGAGGTCTCAGAGACCTCCACAAGCCGGCAGCCGCACAGCAAACAAGCGCCGCCGCGATCTGAGATGCGCAGAGCTGCCGCTGGGGAGAACCGGGTGGAAAGGTTTTCATCCCAGAGCTCCACAAGCCGGCAGCCCGCGCAGCACAAAGAAGCCGCGATCAGACAGAGATGCGCCGAGCTGCGGGGAGGGGAGAACCGGGTGGAAAACATCGGTCTCCCGAGAGCTCCACAAGCCGAAGTCGGAACCCAGCTCCACCAACATGTTATATTTCAACCCATTTTCTAAAGTGCAGCATTATGTTAAATGCACTGGGTTTTACCCTATTACATTTAAATTTCATGGTTAAACAGTACATGTTAAAATCTAAGCTCAGCTCGGCAGTGACCTAAAATACATAAATATAATTTTATTTACCGAAAAAAATGAAGTGGAGACTCCTTGGACGCTCTATTAGTGCAATTAATGCCACAGCAAGTCATTTTGTCCAACAATTGCACAAAAATATCCAAAAAAGAATACACACACACAGAGACTCAAAATCCTGGAACAGTTTCCAAGCCAGACCGAGGCTCTACTGAGGCCTTTCCACGGAGCTTGCTCTGTGGTCACGTGGGTCTGATGCTCATTAATTATACAGAATTTTAGGCTTTTAATACACTTAAACAGAAGAGTGAGAAAAATTGCCATGAGTGTAAACTAGATCATTTAAACCAAAAACATGTTTTGGTACCAGGCTATAAACATGTTTATTTCTGCTGTGAAATTGGTATTTTTAACATGGGAGTCAAAGAGGATTTGCTCGTTTCTGACACCAGCCCCTAGTGGATGAGCGTGGAACTGCAATTTATTTCACTTCCGCGTTGACCTCAATTTTTCACCTGCATTGTGGGGGCTTGGGTCTAACAGAAGTAGCTTGCTTCCTTCAGGACTGTTTTGTTAATGGGTAGAGTAGTTATGTGCTTTGTGTGGGTTAGGCTAGAGAGACTGGAAACTCATGAGTGGGCCACCGTAGCTGCAATACTTTCTCTGCACTGCACGGCGCTAAAGAGTCACATTTTTAGGATAATGACAAATGACCCACACTGGTATAGCGCCTCTCAGAGTAAGGACTTCAAAGTGCTTTACACTACAGTGTGTCATTCATCCATTCACACACACACACACACACACACACACACACACACACACACACACACACACACACACACAAATGGATTTATCAGGATTTTGGTGGATTTCACACCTGGGGCCTTTAAACGTTATTTGGTTGAAACACTTTCTCTAAATTATTCCAAACACGGTTTTGTTGCCCTGAAGGAATGGGGAATTTGCGCCCTCTCCTGGAAAAACATAGAACACTGCTTTCCTGCGTGATTTAGAAAAGAAGGAAAGATGGGGATATGCTGCCCTCCACTGTCTGAAAGCTGTAACTGCACTTGCATTCGTTAAGCCCTTCAGAAGAGAAGATTTTTGCCTCCTTCGTTCTTTTTGTCTTCTTAGGAGTTTTGCTATTGATGAAGAGACGGACAAGTGGTGGATTTATTAAGTTAAAAGAGTTCTTTAGTAGAAACACTTCCTCTGAAATCTTCCAAACACGGTTTTGTTGCCTTGAAATAACGGGGAATGTGCGCCCTCTGCTGGCAAAAACAAAACAACGCTGGTTTCCAACAGCATCTGGATCAGAAGGGAAGATGGGGAGGTGCTGCCTTCTGGTGTCTGAAAGCTGTTACTTCACTCGTGTTTTTTTTCAGCTTTTTGGAAGAAAAATTCTTATATAATTTTATTTTATTATGAGACTTGTGAGAAAAATTCTGAACATTAAGAATAGATCTGATGTTTTTCAGAGATTTTCAGAGACTTTTGTGTTCAAACACTAAATATTTTTACCAGACTGACTTAAAATTATTTTAAAATGCATTTTAATGCTGATAACTTTTGCTCTTTGGGATCTTCTGTTGTCATCATTGTTTTGGAAGCATAAAATCCTACTGGCAGTGAATATCATTTAAAAAAGATCAAGCAGTTTAATTGATTCTCTGATTGTCTTTATGTGCAGGCCTCAGTCTGGTGGTGGGTCTGGTGCTCTACATCTCCAGTATTAATGATGAGGTCATGAACCGGCCCAGAGAGCCCGAGCAGTTCTTCAGCTACCACTATGGCTGGTCCTTCGCCTTCGCTGCTTCGTCTTTCTTACTCAAGGAGGTCAGTGTGTGTGTGTGTGTGTGTGTGTGTGTGTGTGTGTGTGTGTGTGTGTGTGTGTGTGTGTGTGTGTGTGTGTGTGTGTGTGTGTGTGTGTGTGTGTGTGTGAAGTCTCCTACACCTATCTCCTGCATTAGCGTCTGATAGAAAACAGACGGTGAAACTCTAGGATTAGAACATCCTGACAGATCTACGTCACACTGTCACTAACATTCATGGACTCACCCATCTTGGCTCACGACGGGGAAGGCTGTTGTTGGTTTAGCGTCCAGGAAACAGCAGAGAACGTCTCAGCTAGAAGAAGCTAACTGTTAGCATTAAATGGTAAATGGCCTGTATTTGATATAGCGCCTTCTAGAGTCCTGGAACCCCCCAAGGCGCTTTACAACACAATCAGTCATTCACCCATTCACACACACATTCACACTGGTGGGGATGAGCTACGATGTAGCCACAGCTGCCCTGGGGCGCACTGACAGAGGCGAGGCTGCCGAGCACTGGCGCCACCGGTCCCTCCGACCACCACCAGCAGGCAACGTGGGTTGAGTGTCTTGCCCAAGGACACAACGGCAGCGACAGACTGAGCGGGGCTCGAACCTGCAACCTTCCGATTACGGGGCGAGCACTTAACTCCTGTGCATTAGCAACTCCACCACACAGCAGAACTCCTCCAGGCTTGTTTTATTTGTGAAGATCAAACGTTGCAGAGCAGACTGTCAGTGGTGGAGTCATGTTGCTGTTAGCCAATCAGAGGAGAGATGTCTAACTATCAGGAAATAAGACTCCAAAAATCCCCACCCCACCTGTCCTGCTATACTGGATCAAACTAAGAGATATATAAACAACAAATAAGGTTTAATTATGGTGCCAATTCATAAAAAACAGGATACAAGACAAGATAACAGAAACAAAAGGGGTAGACTATCAAAATAAAACAAAAGTGAAGGCCATGAGCCCTTCCGCCTGTGCCTGATTTTCTCCAGATGGATGCGTGACATCCTTTCACTCCTCCAGTGACCGTACGCTGGTGGATGAGTCTGTCCACCTGGACAACGTGAGTCTCTTAGCCAGTAAGAAACAAAAGGCAATCGTGTCTACCAGGCTTGTGTCCAAAGAAGCCTCCACCTTGACTACTCCAAATGAAGCGGTCAAAGGGTCTGGGCGCACAACGGTTCAATTCAATCCAATTCAAAAAGACTATTAATCCCAGAGGACACTGCATCGTAAATAAACACCCCCCACTGTCCCTGTACTTTTGGGCAGAAGAAGAGTGGCAGGTGGCGGTTTGCAACGTTCCCAAACTGGGTCAGAGTCTGGCTATTTTAATCGTTTTAAACGATTCGTTTAACATTTTCAGCCAGTTGTTACTGTGTTCTCCGACCTTTGTGTCTGCTTTTCTCTTCTGAAGCATCTTAACTTCTCTCTCAGGGAGCCGGTGTGCTGTCGGTCTACTTGTTCATGAAGCGGTATGCAGAAGAAGAGATGTACCGCCCCCACCCTGCCATCTACCGCCCCCGCCTGTCTGAGGGCAGCGACTTTAGTGGTCAATACCTCCACCCTGAGTCCAACTGGCCTCCACCAAAGAGGGGACGCAGTACCTCAGAGGCCTCCAGTGACATCTCCATCCAGCTCAACCAGGCACCCCCTGCACCACCAAAAAGCAGCCTCCAAGTAGGAATCCAGGGCAGCCCCCCTTCCGCTTCCTCCTCAGCAGGGAGCTATCCGATGCCCCCGCAGGCTGCAGTATACCCCTCCACACACACCCTCCTAAGGTCGCACTCCTCACACCCTCAGGGCCAAGCTCTTCCGCTGACCGTCCCCCCATCACCTGTGCCTCCACCTCACTATCACACACACATGCATATGAGCGCCTCACCCTGCTAGGGAGAGGGCGCTTCACGAAGAGAAGCAGATTTAGACACTTTTTAATCATCCGTGCTGTACTTTTAGATGTACACTGAGCTTTGGTCACACATCATTTCAGCAGAAGCAGAACGAAACGGAACCGCATGTTGAAAACAGAAAATAGATTGTTTGGGATGTCATAAACTAAGGAAAATGGCCGCTTTGGAAAAAGAGACAAGAGTTGAAGAGAATTGTAAGGAGAAGCAGAACTGAGCAAGCAAGAAGTTAATGAGAAAACGGCGCGGGGATGTGAACGAGGAGGGAAGCATTCCCTAGAAAGACATTACAGGTTCGGTCTGAGCGACGGGGGAGATAACAGGGAGGGAGAGTGAAGCGGGAGGAGGCTGCGGTACAATACAAAGATGCTGCAGTGCTGCAGAAAAATGTTGAATGCACTTGAAAATGTACAAAACAAACCTGAGAATGCACATAGTTTTCATGCATTCATAATTCATGCCAACACATGGGCATCAAGAAGGGAGGGTGAATATATAAAAAATGTCTGAATCTATGACATCATCACTCCAGATTCACACTGTCATGATGGTGTTATCAATATTATTAATTAATTGATTTCACTGGTCATGAATGTTGTTCATTTTTGTTAAAAAATAAAAAAGATGCAAAAATAATGTAAGAAATATCATGAAGAGAGCTTCTTATTCTACATATTTAAGAGACTAAATTCTTATTTATTGTATATATTTGCACAATAAAAAAAGTGTTACTCATTCTGTTTTGGATGAAGTGTTTGCAAAGGTGCAACAGCCACTGGGTGCAGAGCAAAGACAGCAGAACCTCGGGTCTAAAATGGACACAGTGCCCTCTGCTGGTCGCTATCCTGTACTGACCCTGGTTCTGTTCATTTGTGTCAAAACATAAAGGTGATGAGGGTGGGGGGGGGGGGGGGGGTTGCATCTGTGAGTCAAAAAGGAATATCAGGGAGAGAACAGTCTGAGTTGTGCAAAATATGACCAAAAGATTAGCTTTAAAACTTGATAAAGAATCATTTAAAGCTTTAAAGCTGCTGCTTTATCTGTAGAACACTTATGTCTTCATTTCATTCAAACCCGTTTGGGTTACCATCTCACTGTTTGAATCACTGTAAGGTTGCAGGGTGAGTTTTTGTCATTGTTGCTTTATTCTAACATCTTTTAAAGGAAAACTTGCGTTTAGCATCTTTTTGTACTGACATCTCTATAAAAAAAGTGTTTCTATAAAAATTCCAAATTTGACAGAAATCGTGTCTCCACGCTGCCAAAAAATTTGATTTATATCACAAACAGGGTAAGTAGAATAGAAGGACCTCTCACGTGCTGCTGAAGGAGCAGTAGCTCTACTTCTAGCCCCTCCCAGATATCTGAGCTTCTCAGCCTATAGCAGCCAGAGTGGGGGACAGTTGGGCGTGGCCAGTTCCAGCTTGTTTTTTTAAAGTGACAGAACCTGAAACGGCTCACTCTGGAAGGTGCTGAAATTGTCAAGAAAACTGCTGAAATCACACGTGAGAAGGATTTAGCGCAAAGAACTTCATAAACATGTTTCGACCATAGAACTATTATAACTTAGGAAAATAATTCATAATATGTCCTTTTTATGTAGACGCTACATCAAAACTAATTTCTAGTTAGTAAGTAAAGTTTATGAAGCTTTTCCACAGATAAAAATCACAAGTGCTTTGCAACTCAAACCATCAAAACACAATTAAAAATAAAAAGAAAATGAAATGCAGCACTTGATCAAAGAAACTACAGTACAATTGCTGTAAGCAAGAAATCCTTTCATAAGTATAAGTGTTTCTTTTTATTCGTCGTCGTCTTCCTCCACTTATCCGGGTCCGGGTCGCGGGGGCAGCATCCCAACTAGGGAGCTCCAGACCGTCCTCTCCCAGGCCACCTCCACCAGCTCCTCCGGCAGGACCCCAAGGCGTTCCCGGACCAGATTGGAGATGTAACCTCTCCAACATGTCCTGGCTCGACCCGGGGGCCTCCTGCAGGCAGGACATGCCTGAAACACCTCCCCAGGGAGGCGTCCAGGAGGCATCCTGGCCAGATGCCCAAACGACCTCAACTGACTCCTTTCGATCCGGAGGAGCAGCGGTTCTACTCTTGAGTCCCTCCCGAATGTCCGAGCTCCTCACCCCATCTCTAAGGCTGAGCCCGGCCACCCTACGGAGGAAACTCATTTGTGAGGATTGGGACGTAGATCGACCGGTAAATCGAGAGCCTGGCTTTCTGGCTCAGCTTCCTCTTCACCACGACAGATCGGCTCAGCGTCCGCATCACTGCAGACGCCAAACCAATCCTCCTGTCGATCTCCCGATCCCTCCTACCCTCACTCGTGAACAAGACCCCGAGATACTTAAACTCCTCCACTTGAGGTAGGACCTCTCTCCTGACCTGGAGTTGGCAAGCCACCTTTTCCGGTCGAGAACCGTGGTCTCAGATTTGGAGGTGCTGATCCTCATCCCAGCCGCTTCACGCTGAAGGTCAGAGCTGGATGAAGCTAGGAGGGCCACATCATCCGCAAAAAGCAGAGACGAGATTCTCCTGCCATCAAACTCGACACACTCCACACCACAGCTGCGCCTAGAAATTCTGTCCATGAAGGTGATGAACAGAACCGGTGACAAAGGGCAGCCCTGGCGGAGTCCAACCCTCACTGGGAACACGTCCGACTTACTACCAGCTATGCTGACCAAACTCACGCTCCTCTGGTAAAGGGACTGAATGGCCCTTAACAGAAAGCCACCCACCCCATTCTCCTGGAGCGTCCCCCACAGGGTGCCCCTGGGGACACGGTCATAAGCCTTCTCCAAATCCACAAAGCACATGTGGATTGGTTGGGCAAACTCCCATGCCCCCTCCATCACCCTTGCAAGGGTATAGAGCTGGTCCACAGTTCCACGGCCAGGACGAAAACCACATTGCTCCTCCTCTATCTGAGATTCAACTATCGATCGGACCCTCCTCTCCAGTACCTTGGAGTAGACCTTTCCAGGGAGGCTGAGGAGTGTGATCCCCCTATAGTTAGAACACACCCTCAGGTCACCCTTCTTAAAGATGGGGACCACCACCCCGGTCTGCCACTCCACAGGAACTGCCCCCGATGACCACGCAATGTTACAGAGACGTGTCACCCATGACAGCCCTACAACATCCATAGCCTTGAGATACCCAGGACGAACCTCATCCGCCCCCGGGGCTACGCCGCTGTGCAGTTGTTTGACTACCTCAGCAACTTCTGCCCCATAGATTGGACAGTCCATCCCCAGGTCTCCCGGCTCTGGTTCCTCCCCCGAATGTGTGTAGGTGGGATTGAGGAGCTCCTCAAAGTATTCCTTCCACCTTTCAACTATAGCCCCAGTTGACGTCAGCAGCTCCCCATCCCCACTGTAAACAGTGTGAGCGAGTTGCTGCCTTCCTCTCCTGAGGCGCCGGACAGTTTGCCAGAACCTCTTTGGAGCCGATCGATAGTCTTTCTCCATGGCCTCACCAAACTCCTCCCACGCCCGAGATTTTGCCTCGGCAACTGCCACTGCTGCACCCCGCTTGGCTATCCGATACCTGTCTGCTGCCTCCGGAGACCCACAGACCAGCCACGCCCTGTAGGCCTCCTTCTTCAGCCTGACAGCTCCCCGAACCTCTGGTGTCCACCAGCGGGTACGGGGGCTGCCACCATGACTGGCACCGGCCACCTTGCGACCACAGCTAGCAATAGCCGCCTCAACAATCGCAGAGTGGAACAAGGCCCACTCGGAGTCAATGTCCCCCACTGCTCTCAGGACGCGGTCAAAGCTCTGCCGGAGATGGGAGTTGAAGACCGTCTTGACAGGTTCTTCTGCCAGGCGTTCCCAGCAGACCCTCACTATGCGTTTGGGTCTGCCAGGTCTACGCGGCATCTTCCCCTGCCATCTGATCCAACTCACCACCATGGGACTACATGAAGTGACAGAAGGATGAGAGGAAGACCTGTGGTTGGGTCGGCCCAGGTCCTTCAACAACTGTGTGCAGCTAGAAGCACTGATGCTGATTTGAAGGCAGAGGGTGGTCACAACAAATATTGATTTGATTACATTTCTCTTTAGTCCGTTCACTGCTTTTTGTTGATTGATGAAAATAAATGGTTGCCGCGCCCAACTGTGAAAGCATTCTTTGTTTACAGCATTTTTCACCTCTGCTTAAAACCTTTGCACAGTGCTGTGTAGGAAACACAAAAACTAAACAATAAAATTAAAGTAAGTTTGAATCAAAAGTCTTCAGCCGCTTTTTAAAGCAGCCCAAGCTGTCACTACAACGTAAACATTAGTTTTGACTCTGGTTTGAAGAATCTGGTCATGGAGAGGAGAGTCGGAGCTCTGAAAAGGCTTTAGAATAAAAAAAATGACCAGGTCACCTATGCAGAGAAATTAAAAAAGCTCTTCGTCGATCCAGGATGATGTGATTTAGAATCACCCAGATGGGGTTGGGGATGAGGAACCATCACCATAGAAACCAGTTGTCTTGAGTGACCTTTGAGAAACACACAGACTTGATCAGATGAACGCCTGATTTTATTAGATCGTGTAATTGAAGGGAGTTTTTTCTTCACCCAGATGTTATTTCTGATAGTTTAAGTAGGTTCAACCATTTGAAGAAGTCAGGATCCTTGAATCTGAACATTATCTGGATAACGGGGGTAAGAGATGCTGTTTTCTGTCCTAAATGGTGCGTGTAACATAGAAATGGGCGAGGACCCAAGGTGGCTCCGTGGGGTACTCCAAATAAAAGATCAGTAATATATGACATATAATTGTTAGTTATTGTTTAACTTTATAATCAATGTCAGGTAAAATCCTTCTAGTAAAGAAATTGCTGCGACAATTTAAATATACAAAAATGTGTCAAAATTTTATCAAATTTTTTACATCTTGTTGTACTTTTAGAAAAAAAGAAAATACTTTAATTAAAGAGGCTGAATTCATAAATAATAATAAGTTGTTAAAGTAGCTCGAAACTAATTTACAGCTACTTATTAAAGGTATTTCTTGTCTGAGCTCACTTTGGTTCTGCTGTGAAGACATTTTCACCATGAGGGGATATTTTTGAAGGAAGTAGTCATTTAAATGTGCAAAACCTTCATTCTGCAAACTCACCAAACATGAAACTAACCCGGAAATCTGTGCAAAGTGAAAACAGACACGTTTTAATTTGGATAATCAGACGTGTTGTTTGTTTTAAGGCACATGAATCGCAGTTTGCTGCTGTGAGACGAATAAAACCATTGTGTTAGCTGAATAATCACTGTGATGCTTGGGAGGGATCAAACACTCCTACAGCCGGATCATGGGACGAAACTCACGAGGAGACGAGAATGGCCGCCGCTACATCATCGACTGACACATGTCCGTGTTTGTTTTGCTGTTTGTGCTGTAAATAAAGCTGAAATCAAGAGCAACGTCAGGTGACTGAGCTCTTTGTCCAGTGGGCGAATGCCTTGCTCACAGGCACATCAGCAGCCACTGTTCAAGAGGATTTATCCAATTTCTTAAGTTAAAATAAATTTCACTAAACATTAAATAACTGCAGATTCAATCAAGCGGACGATTAATAATATTTTACGTCTTGGAAATGTTTGGAGTCATGAAATGAGATACCACCTTGGATCTGGAGCGTTTTGTCCTTTTTCACGTTTGTTTCTCTGTTTTTACTCCAGGATTTGGATATTTTTCTCTGCATGTGAGATGAAAATGTAAAGGGTTTTGCTGTGTTTACATTCTGAGTTCAGTTTTTTTTTTGCTTATTTTGCAACTAAAGCGACGAATAGTTTTTCAAGTAATAAAGCTGCAGTTGTTAAATAATCTGTAACTTGCTTCCCGTTAATAAAACTCCTGGTGTGGATCCGGGTGCATA